TCGACTTTTCCTCTGTCATCCTAATTCACTGTCCAGCTCTCAGATACACAGCAATGGTATTAAGTATATGGGATTAGACTTCAGACAGACATCATTCATTGTTCCTTAGTTCTTTGACGAGACCCCTAACAGCAGCCTTGCTCAATACATCTTTTGCTTTCTTGATTATTGGTGCTGAGGGTGAAATGTGGATCCAAGTAAGAGGAAGTCATCAACTATTTCAATCTTTTCTCCATCTATCATGATGTTGTCTATTGGCCCAGTAGTCAGGACTTTTGACTTTTTCTTTTTTTTCTTCATTTCCCTGCCTCTTTTTAAACAGTCCCTCCTATCCACTCTTACCTTTGTATCCAAAGACGAAATTTGTAGGTGAAAGGAGTTAGCCTTCGTTACAGACTCGTTAATTTCAGGGTCGAAAATATGGAACGCTTGACGAATTTGCGTGTCATCCTCGTGCAGGGGCCATGCTAATCTTCTCTGTATCGTTCCAATTTTAGTATATGTGCTGCCGAAGCGAGCACGACTTTTGACTTTTTAATGTTGAGATGTAATCCACATCTTTGACCTTATGCACCAAGTGTTTCAAATCCTTCTCACTTTCAGGAAGTAAAGTTCTGTCATCTATATAATGTAGGCTGTTTGTGAGTCGTCCTCTGATCCTGGTGCCATATTTTTCTTCACAGAGTCCAGCTTCTTGAATGACAATGGAGCTACACCTTGAGGTTTGTCTGTATCCCATTCACAGCGGTAATTAAATACATGATAGACATTATCATGTCTGATTTGGGAAGCAGTTTGTGGGCACCAAGACTTTTCTTCTCGCAACACATACAGATATCAAAACCATGATTACATGAGCACCTTAATCAGCTATGCCAACAACAGTCCTTGTTACACAACAGTAAAACCACTTCAGCCTCTCACTTACAGTAGCACCTTTCCATGCTCCTGCCAAATAAACAAATTGTATGCCCAAGAATTTTTTGTAAAGTTAAAAAAGTTTTATAACAAAAAAACGGAGATAAAACCAAAAACTGAGAACAGCCTTTACGCTCAAAAAACCTGAGTCAGCCTCTAGATTGTGATTCAAGAGGTCCAGAGTGACAGGATGATAAAGTATTTTTTAAAAATAAAATTTAAAAAACAAAACAAAAACCATGAAACATAGTTGAGAACATTACACTAAAATACATTCTTCTAAAGTATGATCCACTCAAAATCTTTCAGCAGGTCCCTAATTATGGTTCTAACAAAATGTAAACCACAAAGCTCTGTATTAAAGAATCTTCACAACTTAATCTCAACTGACCTTTGCTTCATTTCACTTCTCCTACAGACCTAAATAAAGTCCATTCAAACTACACATTTTGTGCCTTTCTGAATAGCCTTCTTCTACTTATGTAATTCCCTTTGTCTGATATACTATCTTTCTACTATTACTTATGAACAATAACCGACATTAATTGTTGTGTTTCCTAATGCTTTGTGAATAATCTCTTACAGTTAAAAAGAAAGAAAGAACGAACAAGGCTTCTCTCCTCTGTAGTAGCAAGAAGCTGTGCTACAATCCTGAAGGAATGCTGTTCAAGGCCATCTGCTGCTCAGCTGGAGAAGGACGGGCAATCTCCTCCCATATGATTAACTGCCTCTGAAAATCCACCAGAGGGTCAGCTTTGGGTCGGTTCTGACTCTACAGTCCTGAGCAACAACCTCTGTTATTATGTTTTTTTTCTTTGAAGGAAATAGCAAAAAATAAGGCCCCAGCAATAGATGGCATACCAATTGACTTACTTCAGTTGACAGATGCTGCCCTGGATGTGCTCACCAAGTTGTGCCAAGAAATCTGGAGAACAACCACTTGGCCAACTGACTGGAAGAGATCTATATTTGTTCCCATCCCAAAGAAGGGTGACCCAACAGAGTGTGGAAACTATAGAACAATATCATTGATTTCACATGAAAGCAAGATTCTACTGAAAATTATCCAAAAATGACTGGAGCAGCACATCAGCAGAGAACCGCCTGAAGTCCAAGCTGAGTTTAGAAGGGGTCGTGGTACGAGGTAGCTGATGTTAGATGGATCTTAGCTGAAAGCAGAGAATACCAGAAGAATGTGTATCTGTGTTTCATTGATTATGCAAAGGCATTTGACTGTGTGGATCATAAACTGTGGCGGACTCTGAGAAGAATGGGAATCCCAGTATATTTGGTTGTGCTATTGTGAATCCTATACTTGGACCAGAAGGCAGTCATCAGAACAGAGCAGGGAAACACTGCATGGTTCAAAATTGGGAAGGGTGTATGCCAGGGATGTGCCCTATCTCCATACCTTTTCAACCTGTATGCAGAACAGATTATCCGAGAGGCTGGGCAATATGAGAAGTGTGATGCCTGCATTACGCAGATGACACAACTCTGCTTGCTGAAACTGAGGAGGACCTGAAATGCTTGCTGCAGAGGGTCAAGGACTGCAGCCTTAAGTATGGATTGAAGCTTAATATCAAGAAGACAAAGATTCTCACCACTGGACCAACTGGCAGCATTAGGATGGATGGTGAAGAGCTTGAGATTGTTAACAACTTTAGTCTGCTTGGCTCCATGGTCAACACTCTTGGCACCAGTAGCCAGGAAATCAAAAAACATATTGCAATGGGAAAATTTGCTGTTAGGGACCTCTCCAAAGTACTGAAGAGCATTGCTGACTTTCTGGAGACTAAGGTGCATCCGATACAGGCTATGGTCTTTGTAACCACTTGTTATGCATCAGAGAGTTGGACAATGATTAAGAAGGAGAATTGATGCCTTTGAGCTGTGGTGCTGGAGAAGAGTATTGAGGGTACCATGGACTGCCAAGAAAACAAACAGATTCATCCTGGAGAGGGTTGAACCAAGCTGCTCCTTGGAGGCAAGTATTCTGGGGCTTCGTCTAACATACTTTGGACCTGTTTTAAGGAGAGACAGGTCCTTGGAGAGGGACATCATGCTTGGGAGGGTGGAGGGATGGCACAAGAGAGGAAAACCCTCTATGAAGTAGATTGATTCAGTGACTGAGGTAATCGGGATAGGTGTGTCAGAGGCAGTGTGACTGGCACAGGATAGAGCAGAGTTTAGGGCTGTTGTACATAGGGTCGCTATGAGTTACAAGTGACTCGACGGCACATAACAACAACAACATCCATAAAACTCTCTCCAAGATACTATCTTGATAAAAAAATCTCATCTCTCAAAATACCCAGCATGGTGTTACTTATGTAACGTAGAAAAAAAAATAATTATTTCTTACCTATAGTTCTCACTGCTTCCTTGTGATCAGCTCTGAAGAGATTTATTCTTCCGTCTTCCCCAACTGTGACTATTTCTGGGCTGTTGCACACAATGCCTGTACACGGGGCACTGCTGTAGGAAAGACTGCCCGGACCAGAGTGGCAGTGAGCTGCTGTCCACTGATGGCTGACTGAGAGCGTCTAGGTGTGAGACATGAGGGTACCGTTAACCACAGTTGGTCCTTAGGAACCTACCAAAAACTTTTCAAATTCTGCCTGACATCCTCCTAGAAAAATCATTCTTTCTCTTTTGTGTTACCAGGTATTAAAGTCTAGTGATTATTTTCTGCATACAGAGCTAGATTTAAAATGAATGTTGGTTAATACCATGCTATACATATCCTACTGAAGATATTTAGGTGTTAAATAATTATGTGTTCAAACACAACTCTTTAAACTCTAAAGGGAATGAGTCTAAACCTAAGAAATACATCTCTAGAGTGCTTTCTAAATTACTCTATTAATAAATTCCTTAACAGTATCTATCGGCTTTTAATATTTTAGGTACAGTATAAGAGATCAGTGACTTTGTGAGGTACAAGACATCACAGAAGTAACTTGTGGCCCAAGCCATCATATCAAAGGGTTGCTTGGGGAGAGGGGGTGCAGGATGGGGCAGCAGGGAGTGCAAACGATGCAAACAGAGAAAAGGAAAGGGTAAGACACACATGCAGGGAGAAGGCACTGCATGTATGGTTATCTCTGTAAGGGATAACCATTTGTTCCTTTCACTAAAGCGCTTGTGCATCATATATTGTTCCAAAGCTAAGCATCCAAGTTTAGACAAACTAGGAAGGAGGATTGGCCTTCCACTTCCAAAGTATAACAGGCCTTCGAAAACCAATAGAGCACCCTTAGAGAAGACAAACTGATATGACAACTGAGACTGAGCCCTCAAATTTGGAAACAAAGAGGAACAGTTGTAAGCAGAAATTAATGACTGGAATGTGAAATGTGAGAAGAACGAATGAAGAAAAACTGGATATCATTAAGAAAGAAATGGGATGCATAAATATTGGCGAAATGAGATGGACTGGCAGGGGACATTTTGAACCAGATGATCATATGATCTATTATGCTGTAGATGAAAAGGTGAGAAAAAATGGAGTTGCTTTCATAGTTAAAAAGGCTGTTTCTAGATTCATCTTGAAATACAATGTCATGAGTGACAGGATAATATCCATACACATACAAGGACGACCTGTTAATACTACCACCATTAAAATTTATGCACCAACAGCCAAAGAAGAGGAAATAGGCGAGCTCTGGTGGCCTAGTGGTAGGAAACTGCACTGCAATCCCAGAGGTGCGTGGTTCAAATCCACCAGATGCTCTGCTGAAGAAAGGAGGAACAATCGCCTCCTGTACCAGTCAGATCCAATTTGACAGTACACACATAAAAAGAATAAATAAATAAATAAAAATTAAAAAAAAAGAAGAGGAAATAGATTATTTCAACCAATTGTTGCAGTTAGAAATCAATCAAATGTGCAACAAAAATTCATTAATAATAATAATAGGTGACTGGAATGCAAAATTGGGAACCCGGAAGAAGGATCGGTAGTCAGAAAACATGGACTTGGGTGACAGAAATGAGGCTGGGGATAAAATGATAGAATTCTGTACAATCAGTGATTTAGTCAGAGCAGATACTTTTTATAAGAAATATAAATGTAGACTATACACGTGGATTTCACCTGATGGTATACAAAAGAATTAGACTGATTACATCTGTGGGAGGAATAATTAGAGAAATTCAATATCTGCAGTGAAAACTAGGCCAGGTGCTGATAATCATATGCAAATTAAAGCTAAAGAAGGCCAAATCAAATCCACAGGAATCCAAATTTGACACTGTGACTATCCCACCTGATTTTAAAAACAAACCTGAGAACAGGTTTGGGGCCCTGAACACTAATAAACAAAAACCAGATGAGTTGTGGGAGAATATCAAGAGTATCACCCAGGAAGAACACAAAAGGTCATGACAAGACGAAAAGACCAAAATGGATGTCAGAAGAGACTCTGAATATTGCACTAGGGCGCAGAGAAGCCAAAGCAAAGGGAAGAAATAATGAAGTTGAAGAGCTTAAAAGATTTCAAAGGGCAGCATGGGAAGATAAAGCAAAATATTATAATGAAATGTGCAAAAAACCTAGAGTACAAAAATCAAAAGGGCCATACTCTCTGAGCATTTCTTAAGCTGAAAGAGCTAAAGAACAAATTCAAGCCTCGAGTTGTAATAATTGAGGATCCTATGGGTAGAAAACAAACAGATTCATCCTAGAGAGGGTTAAACCAGGCTACTCCTTGGAGGTAAGGACTCTGGGGCTTCGTCTGACATACTTTGGACATGTTGTAAGGAGAGACCGGTCCTTAGAGAAGGACATCATGCTTGGGAAGGTGGAGGGACAGCGCAGGAGGGGAAGACCCTCTATGAGGTGGATTGATTCAGTGACTGGGGTAATCGGGATGGGTGTGTCAGAGACAGTGAGATTGGCACAGGATAGAGCAGGGTTTAGGGCTATTGTACATAGGGTCGCTATGAGTCGCAAACGACTTGATGGCATATAACAACAACAACAACATGGGTAGAATATTGAATGACTCAGGAAATAGAAGATGGAAAGAGTACAGAGTCCTGTACCAAAGAACTGGATGGCACAGAAAAATTTCAAGAAACAACATATGATCAAGAGACACTGGTGATAAAGGAAGAAGTGCAGGCTACTCTGAAGGAATTGGTAAAAAATAAAGCTCCAGGAATTGATAGAATACCAACTGACACATTTCAACAAACAGATGCTGCCCTGGTTGTGCTCATCAGGTTTGCCAAGAAATCTGAAGGACAACTCCTTGGCCAACTTACTGGAATAGATCCGTATTTATTTCCATTACAAAAAAAAAAAAGTTGACCTGAAAAGTGTGTGGAAATTATCGTACAGTATCACTAATACCACACATTAGCAAAATCCTACTGAATGTTACCCAGAAACAACTGGAACAGTACATTGACAGAGAACTACCAGAAATATAAGCTGGGTTCAGAAGAAGCCAGGGCACTAGGGACATATCACCAATGTCAGATAGATCTTGGCAGAAAGCAAAGAGTAACAGAGGGATATCTATCTGTGTTTCATTGACTATGCAAAGGTATTTGACTCTGATGATCATAACAAATTATAGCTAACCTTGAGGAGAATGGGAATCCCAGAACATCTGATTGTTCTCAAGTGAAAACTTTATGTGGACCGGGAAACAGTCCTCAGAACAGAGCAGGCAAACACTGAATGGTTCAAAATCAGGAAGGAAGTGCATCAGGGATGCATATTATCTCTTTACCTTTTCAATATATACACGCAGAACAGATCATTCAGGAGGCTGGGCTATATGAGGAAGAATGTGGCATCAGAATGAAGACTCATCAACAACTTACGTTATGCAGATGACAAAACCTTGCTTGCTGAAACTGAGGGGGAGCTGAAGTGCTTGCTACAGTAGGTCGAGGACTGTAGTCTTCAATATGGACTGAAGCTCAACATCAAGAAAACAAAGATTCTCACCACCGAGCCAACTGGCAGCACCATGATGGATGGGGAAAGAGTTGGAGGTTGTTAACAGTTTCACCTTGCTCAGCTCCACAATCAACACTTTTGGCACCAGCACTCAGGAAATCAAAAGACGAATTGCATTAGGTAAATTTGCTGTCAGGGTCCTCTCCAAAGTACTAAGAAGCAACAATGTCAGTCTAGAGACTAAGGTGCACCTAATCCAGTCCATGGTCTTTGCAATTACTTGCTATGCATCAGAGAGCCAGACAATGACTAAGGATGACAGAATAAGAATTGATACCTTTGTGCTGTGGTGCTGGAGAAGTATCTTGAACATACCATGGACCGCCAAGAAAACAAACAGGTCTGTCTTAGAGAGAGTGAAACCAAATTTCTCCTTGGAGGCAAGGATTTTGAAGCTCCATCTTAAATTAGCCAGGAGGGACTAATCCATGGAGAATGATATCATGCTCGGAAGGGTAGACGGACAGCACAGGAGAAAAACACCCCAAATGAGACGGACTGATAGTGACTAGGGCAATGGGGGTAGGTGTGTCAGTGTCACTGGCTCAGGACTGGGCAGGCTTCAGAGCTACTGTATGTAGAGTCACTATGAGTGGCCAGCAACTTGAAGGCACATAACAGAAACAACAAAAATATATTAGTAAGGTGCCTTTATTAATTTCAAAACCTGCATAAGCTCTCTCTCCCAACAACGTAAAGCTGAATTGTGTTACTGCAAATTGGGCTATTTTTAAAAATTATCATCCCCACTGTACTTTGAAGGTCATCACACTTGTGCTTAGAATTGAGAAAATGTCCAGTTTTCATAAAATATATCATCTCTTCTAATTAAAACCTGGGTTCTCTAACTACAGAAGCAAAGTAGCTGTTTCTGTTCTCCTCCACAGCATCTGAGCTAGAAAAATGCTTGCTTTCTGGAAAAGAATTTAAAAACGAGAATTACAGTAAATTCAACTGCAACCTACTAAACTTGTTGTTATGTGCTGTCGAGTCACCTGCGACTCAGGGCGACCCTATGTACAACAGGCCTAAACCTTGATCTATCCTGTGCCAATCTCATTTTCTCCAACTCACCTACCTACCCACAGTCACTGAATCAATCCACCTCATAGAGGGTCTTCCTCTCCTGCATTGTCCCTCCACCCTCCCAAGCATGACGTCTTTCTCCAAGGACTGGTCCCTCCTTGCAACATGTACAAAGTATGTCAGATGAAGCTTCAGAATCCTTCACTCCAAGGAGCAGCGTGGTTTAACCCTCTCTAGGACGAACCTTTTCGTTTTCTTAGCTGTCCATGGTATATTCGACTTCTCCAACACCATAGCTCAAAGGCATCAATTCTCCTTCTATCCTTCCTCATCACTAAACTTATTAGTAAATGAAGAGAATTTATTTTAAAGAATAAGGGATATACAATCTCAATTAGAGAAATAAATAAATCCTGTTGCTGATTGGACGACACCTAAACAACTGTCAAGTTGATTCTGGCTCAGAGCAATCCACATTCAAGTACAACTGCTCCGCAGAGTTTTCTTGTCTGTAATCTTCCCCTGCCTTTTTCTTTCTTTCTTTTTTTTTTTTTTTTCATGTACCATCAAATCAGATCTGACTGGTACAGGAGGAGATTGTTTCTCCTTCCCCAGGTAGTACCTGGTGGATTTGAACTGCGTGTCTGCAGGACTGCAGTGCAGGTTCTTGCCTCTGCGCCACCAGAGTTCCCTTCTTGTCTGTAATCTTAATGGAAGTAGACTGTGAAGATTTTCTCCCACAGTCCTACAAGTGGGTTCAAAATATCTAGAGATCTTCCATAGTTCTAAAATTCCCCTATCAGAAGTTCCACTGTATTAAAAGAGATCTTTCCCTCTTCATGCTATTCTTCGTGTGATTACTAAACGTAGTATTCCTGAAGAGAAGGAAAATAGAAATTCTGTTTTCAGATAATGGGCTCTTTACCTGGTCCTTCTGATGGTGAAGGAAAATCGTCACAGATCCTGTTGACGAGGCAGTCACAATTCTTTCCTGGTCTAAAAACTAAGTAGAAAAATCCTGCTTACTATAGATTGAAAAATATTAGTAGGAAGTAAGTCAATTTGTTTAATTCAAACAGAAGTAAACTCTGTTACAATTTCATAAGAGCTTTTAAGTGCCAAACCCAAAATACAGTAACTGAAGTGAAAAGTCAAGTTAATATACAAAATGAAAACATTTCCATGCAAAACAATCAACAAAGAGCTGACTTTCCTTAAACTCCTTCACATATAAATGATTCAATGTTGGATCCCTGTAATAAAGCTTTAGAAAATTATCATTCCTACGGTGAAACAATTTCCTGTAGTATAAAATGGAGGGACACTGAAGCCAAACAACCCTGAATTTGAATACTCGCTTCCAGTCCTACAATTAGAATTTGGGGCAATCCTACTACTGGTTTTAAGATTTGGGTGAAATTAACAAAGTTTTCTTGGCAAAACAGTACAAATCCCTGTATAAGAAGTTGATTTCAATCAAAGCAAACCTATATGAAGTGCCCTGGATACTGTTTCCTATCAGGCATATGTTCAATGGAACACCTTGGTCTCAAAATTCTCACTGGTAAAAGAAAAAGCCCAATACTTGACTCACAGACATAAGAGAATTACAGTAACTTAAACCTCCCCAAACGACACATGGCACCATAGTAAGTGGGTATTTAATAAATTATAATGCAATTCAAATTTTCTTAATTTTTTTCCATAAAGGTAAACATGCTTTTTTCAAAAGTTGTAATTAGTTTTAAATAATATTTTTTCTTTTTGAATTTTTCTACTCGTTTATTTACAAAATTCAAATACAAATTTGAACAAATTCTTTCAATTTCCCTTAGCCTCCCCATCAAACTGTCCAACCCAATGATTAATCCCCCCCTTCCCCTGCACATCTCTCTGCTTCCAGCCTCTCCCACCCCTCCTGGATCCTTATACTCATTCTACAATAACAGTTTTATACAATATTTATCCTTATGGGACTGAGTTCACTCAGCATAATGTTCTCCAGTCCCTCCCAAGTTAGGTAATAATTCACAAAGTTATTGGTCCTGTGTGCTGCATAATATTCCTTTGTGTGAGTGTACTATACTTTCTCAATCCATTCGTTTGTGGCTGGACATTTGGGCTGTTTCCATGTTTTGGCAAAAAAGATAATTTTCTTAAATAAAATCTTAAAACTTGATTCTGCCACCAAGTGGTTATGTGATGGCTGATCAAGTAACCTTCGGAGAACCTTGTTTCTTGTAAAGTTCAGATAGACTTTAAGGTTCAGCGCATCACTCCACGTTGTTACATAAAGCCCTCCGTGGCTCTTACACCAGCTCACCTGTAAATCCATGACATCACCGTGGTGTCCGATGTCACACAGTATCTGATGCTCTCTTTCAAGCCCTCCATCAGAGTCCACGTTTCCAGCATCTCCAACTAACCACAGCAAAACAGAATTTTCCTGTAAGACAAAGTTTTGTCTGAAGACAGTAGTCTACTTTGGAAATCAAGAATTTTACTCGCTTCAGGCAACTTCAAAATAACTTCCGACCCAAAAAAAAGTATGGTTAAGAGTTGAAAATGCAAAGTGGTCCGAAGGTCAGGCAGCCCAGAAGGGGATGAAGAGAGGTGAAGGAACCAGGGGAAAGGACGCAGGGCAAAGGTGGCGCGCGCTAGGGGCCCAGACCCGGGAGAGGAGGCAGGGACCCCCGCCCGGGCGCCGGAGTACCTCGTTGTCCCAAGAGCCCGTAGCGAAGATCTCCGCGGTCTGCAGACTGCCCGACGGCAGTGGTCGCCAGCGGGTTTTGCTGATTTTCTGCGACACAAACTTAGCATAAATATCCTTCATTCTGGAAGCAACTCCAGCCTTCACTGCAAGAAGCGCCACGCGCGCCTCTCAGTCCCGCCCCTTCCTCCCAGGACTCTGATTGGTTCAGGCCTGCTGGGGACGACGGTGGCTGCAGAGAGCCAATTCTCTCGCGCGGATTGACTGTCCTAAACTGGCGGGTGCAAGCTGGGTCCCCTAATTCACGGTGGCGTCGCTAACAAATATGCAAACATGACATGGCCCTGAGCTAGACCCTCTCCTACCTTGCAACATCGGTATATCTAGAAAATGTATTTGTGTATAATTCCTCAATATAAAATAGTTATACACACACACATATATACGTGTGTGTGTGTGTATCTCCAAATAAAATCAAAGCAAGAGAAATTCCTTGTAAGGACACCTGAGCGTGCAGGCACACTTTAAGGCGGATGCATAACTAGGCATGACAGCTAAGGCACGTGCTCTGGGCGCTGCTTGAAGGGGAGTGTCAATGAGCCATTTCCATCGCCTTCTTTGTGATATCATCCAGGAATTGAAAGCCAATTGCCATAAGCGCTATTTTCGACCTGTTTTACTGTGTATGTTAAAAAAAAAAAAACAAACCCAAACAACCCACAAAACAAACCACTCTTTAAATTCTCGTGCAAATACTTCCACTGATGTACCAGTTTGTTATTCTAAACCTTTCCCCGTATGTCCTCTAAACAGTTTGCTTCAAAGTTAATACATTTTCAGAGTCTGGAGCTGGAATTCTGACGACTCCAGCTCTATTTTTGATGCACATTGCCTAGTTGTGTAACCTTGCCAAATACATTTTTTTTTTTCCTGTTTGGACCATTTTAATTTAGCGTTTGTTTACAATTTGAAATCCATCACTTCTCGCAGCTCAGGGACACAGGGCACACCCACTGGTCAGCGGGCAAAGCAGTCCTCAGTCTTCATCATCAGGGGGGATGCCCAGCTCTTCATCTGTCCATTGGGAAGGATCGGGATAAGGAAAGTGACCCAGCACCGCGTCCGAGTCGTGCCAGAAGCGCCAGAGGATCCAGAACCACACGGTCCCGCTGAAGAACTCGGCCAGGACCACCTGCGACCGGGTCAGCTGGGGGAACTGGCGGTAGGACGGCTTGATGTGCACGCCGCCGCCCACGCCCCCAGCAGTCCGCTTGCCGCAGCCTCGGAAGAGCTGGCCTCCGACGCGAACGAAAGGCGCCAGCCGCCTCAGAGCCGACATGACACCCGAGGTCCGCCAATACATTTATTTTTACAAAAAATAATGTGTTTTATGATATACAAAGGCACTGACCCAAGAATCAGTACGTATGGGTTCCTTCTGTGTTTTTGGCAAAAAGCAAACAAAGCCCAAATCTGTTTTTGTAGAGTCCATGTGGACTCACAGCACCTTCATAGGTGGTTGTTGTTGTTGTTATGTGCCATCGAGTTGCTTGCGACTCATAGCAATCCTATGTACAAGAGCCCTAAATGCTGTTCTATCCTGTGCCAACCTCGCTGTCTCAAACACACTCATTCCTACTACTCCACTCACAGAATTGATCCATCTCATTGAGGATCTTCCTCTCCTGTGTGGTCCCTCCACTCTCTCAAACATGATGTCCCAATCCAAGGACCAGTCCCTCCTTGCAACATGCCCAAAGTATGTCAGAATAGAATTGTCTCACAGGATTCCCAAGGATGTAATCATTACAGAAGCATATCAGCAGGGATTGGCAGGGGAGTTCAAAATACTAGCCAAGTATCAGGAGCCTACCACTTAACAACTGCATTACTGGGGCTTCTCGTGCTGTTGATGAGCACCTTTAATGCTTCTATTTCTCTCTGCTCAGATCCAGCATAGTCTGCAAAGATTGGTTCATTCTGTATATTATTCTGGTCATTCCAGTTTTAATGATTTAATATTTAGGCCAGAAATAGCACTTTTATTACACCAGATTTTAACTGGCAGATACAACCCTGGATGTACTCACCAGTCTATGCCATGAAATTTGAAGGACAACTACATTACCAGCTGACTGGAAGAGATCCAGATTTGTTCCTATTCCGCAAAGAAAGTGATCCAACAGAATGCGGAAATTATAGAACAATAGTATTACTATCACATGCAAGCAAAATACTTCTGAAGATAAAAAATGGCCAGAATAGGGCACTGGCAGGGGGTTTCCAGAAGCTCAGACTGCTAAAAGAGGCCAAAGCAGCAGAAACCTCATTGCAGGTGTCAGATGGATCCTGGCTGAAAGGAGATCCTATCAGAAGAATGTCTGTTTGTACTTTCTTGTCTATTAAAAAAGGCAGTGACTGTGTGGCTCATAACAAACTATAAGTAATAAGGTCGAGAAGAATGGAAACTCCAGAACACTTAATTCTGTGCATGCAAAATCTATACCTGGATCAAGAAGCTGTTGTCTGAACAGATCAAGGGAACATTGTTACATAATAAAAAGGAAAACAATGCAAAGGCATCAATTGGTCTTCTGTCTTCCTTAGTCATTGTAGGGAAGTATCTTTGTTTTCATTTATTTCCTGACAGCTGGTCCCAAGAGTATTGATTGTGGAGCTGAACAAGTAACTGTAGTTGTAGTCCATAGGATATTCGGTATTTTTCTGCAATATCACTATGTATGGACTGCATTGGGCAAGTCTGTAGTCAGAGACCTCTCCAAAATACTGAAGAGCAATGATGTCAGTTTAAAGACTAAGGTGTGCCTGATTCAGGCCATGCTCTTTTCAATCACTTGCTATGCATTTGAAAGCTAAACAATGAATAAGGATGGCAGAAGAATTGTTGCTTTTGATTTGTGATGTTGCAGAGAAGTACTGAATATCCTATGGACTACCAAAAACACAATATGGACTGAAGCCCATCATCAAGAAAACAAAGAATCTCACCAATTGGCAGCACCATAATAGATGGAGAAGAGATTGAGGTTGTTTACAATTACAGCTTGCCCAGCTCCACAATCAATACTCTTGGGACCAGCAGTCAGGAAATTTAAGAAATTAATTATTTTAGGGAAATTTACTGTAAGATCTCTCCATAGTACTGAAGAACAACTCTGTCAATTCTAGAGAATAAGGTGCACCTGACCCAGGCCATGGTCTTTGCAATTACTTGCTATGCATCAGAGAGCTGGACAATGACTAAGGATGACAGAAGAAGAATTGATGCCTTTGTGTTGTGGTGCTGTAGAAGAGTCTTGAGCATACTATGGACTGCCAAGGAAACCAACAGGCCTGTCTTAGAAAGAGTGAAAGCAAGTTTTTCCTTGGAGACTAGAATTTTAAATCTCTATCTTACATACTTTGGGCATGTGACTAAGAGGAATCAGTCCTTGGAGAAGGACATCATGCTTGGAAGGGTGGAGGAACAGTGCAGGAGCAGAAGATCTTGGGTGAGTTGAACTGATATAGTAACTAGGGTAATGAGAATAGGTGTGTTGGAGTCAGTGAAAATGGCTAAGGATAGATAGAGCAGGCTTCAGACCTATATTGGGTCACTGGGAGTTGAAGTGACTTGATGATACACTACAACAACAACAGCAACCAAAAGAACAAACAGATGTCTTGAGAAAAGTGTAGCCAGAGTGATCTTTGGAGGCAAAGATGGGAAAGATTCTTCTATCATACTTTGGGCACATTGCTAGGGGACGTTATTCCTAGGAAATCATACTTGGACAAGTGAAAGAGATATAGACTCCTAACAATATGAGTTGATACAGTGACTGCAGAAATGGGTTCAAGTATGTCAAGATGATGAGGATGGTACAGGATAGGACAGGGTGCAGGTCTATAGTTCTTGGGTTGCTATGCGTTGTACTCAACACCTAACCACCACAACAATAGTTTTCTTTTTTATGTGAGCTGTGGTACTAGAGAAGAGTATTGAATATACTATGGACTGCTAGGAGAACAAACAAGTTTGTCCTGGAGAGCATGAAGCCAGGCTGCTTCTTGAAGGAAAGATTCTGAAGCTTTGTCTGACATACTTTGGACATGTTGCAAAGCAGAATCAATCCTTGGAGAGGGACGTCATGCTTGGGATGGTGGAGGGACAGGGCCGGAGAGGAAAACCCTCGATGAGATGGATTGATTCAGTCACTAGGGACATGGGGGGGAGGTGTGTTGGAGACAATAAGATTGACAAAGGATAGAGCAGGGGTTTAGGACTGTTGTACATAGGGTCACTAAGAGTTGCAGGCGACTTGACAGCACATAAAAAAGAACAACATATCCAACTACAATATAAATTCGGTGTACAAGTGCTGCATACAAGAAGTATGGCTTGTTCATCTCATCTGTAAGCTATTTGTTGTTAGGATCTGATAAGAGGAATCTGACTCATAGCAGCATATTGAAGTCTTGCTCCATCCCACACCACCCTCACAATCTCCACTGTGCTCAAACACATTCTTGCAGACACTCTGTTGATCTATCATGTTGAAGGTTTTCCTTTCTTTTGTTGATCCTTCACCTTTTCAAGTACATTGTCCTTTTCCAAAGGCCAAGCCTCTCTTGTGAACATGATCTATGTATGTAAGCTGAAGTCCTGCCATTTTTGCTTCTGAAGAGCAAACTAGGTCTACTTTTCCCCATATTTTGTTTTGTTTGTTCTTTTGGCAGTCTACGTCTTCAATTCTCCTCACCAATACAATTCAAAAGAGTTGCTTCTTCTTATGTCTTCCTTGTTCTTTATCCAATTTTCACTGGCATATGAAGTAATACCAGGGCTTGGGTCAGGATTTATTAATGTGTGCTGGTTTTTCTGTTGCTGTTGTCGTTGGGTGCTATCAAGTTGAGTACAACCGATAGAGATCCTATTAACAACAGATATGAACCCTGTCCTATCTTGTGCTCTCCTCATTATTCCTGACACAAAAGAGCCCTTTGAGGCAGTCACTATGTCAATCCACCTGTTGACAGTCTTCCTCTCCTTTGCCTACCCCCTAGCTTTCCAAGTATCATGTCCCTCTCCAGGGAAGAGCCCTGACTAGCAGCATGGCCAAAGTATGTGAGGTGAAGCTTAATTATCT